AAAATTATAACAAAAAGTTTAAGTAATTAAGTAAGAACAACTAAAAAGTTATCTCATATAAATTTTAAAAACATAATTGAAACAACTTTTTCATTATTACTAATTCGCATTTAAAAAAAAATAAAAATGTTTGCCTTTGCATCGTCTAATCCAATAATTTTCCAAAATGACAATAGCAATGAGAGCGTATGCTATCTATTAAGGTGCGGAAGACTCATTTTCAGCGGTCTGAACCACACGCAAGCAGTACAGAGAATCCGCATTTTAATAAGTAGTCCAAACTACTAAGTCCAGTTAAACCAGCGGAACAGTAGGCAGCAGAATATCAATTGTAATCAGGTACTCATGAAGGTTTATCCTCTTTTTCCCAAATCCAGTCCACTTTATCTCCAAAATTCACGCTGCATTTGGCCGTACAGGCGGAAAGAGCGTGCTACAACAAAAGCTAAATTATGTCCCTCATAACTTGGGGCAGGAGCAGAGTATGCCAACGCAGTGTCTAACGCAGAAAAAAAAAAAAAAACAAAACCGAAGCTAAATACCCTTCACAGGTGAATTACACAGGTTATATCTGTTGTCTACAGTAATTCGTTCTGAACAATTTTTAGGAGATTATATTGTTACCTTAAGCAGTAATACATGCCTAATCTTCACGAACCACGTCAAATGCGAAAGTTTTCCATACAAGCCCTTGATTCCGGTCGTTCGTTTTGTATGGCAGCTATATGCTACAGTAATCCCATCTGAACAATTTCCTCTGATATTACATTATTTCTATAAACAATAACTCATACCAAATTTCGTGAAGATATATCGTCAAATGTGAAAGTATTCCATACAAAACCTTGATTCCGATCATTCAATTTGTATGGTAGCTACATGTTATAGTTAACCGACCTGAACAATTTCTTCGGAGATTACATTGTTTCTTTCTGAATGTGCTAGTGAACAGACGTGTCACGTGTTTAGTGGAGATCTAAATATCAAAGTGTAGCAAAATCGATTTGTTAATAAACATCCAACAATTGTAAGGTCGCGAAATTAATGCAGAAGGTGAGAGTACTCTCTTCAAATGGCAAAACGTTACAAACAAAAATGGAGAGCGTGYCAAYAAAGAGTCCCCTAGCTTGTATGTCCACAGAAAACAAGTAATTATACACCCAAACCGATACGATCTTTTGAGTGACGACGACAATGATGAACGAGAGGCTTTCGAGAACAATAATATAGAAGCGAGTAAAGCAACAATGCCGAATATTACAAAGCCACCACTACTCCGTTGATTATACCTGGAGTAGTTAACATAAGTGAAATGATAACCTCTAAAATAAATCTGTACACGTGCTATTCACTTTAAGGCGAAAAGAGTGTCCTCCTTGCCGCATATATGGTAGTATGATTCCGAAACTTAAAAATAAACAATTAAAAATGAAAACTAAAAAACTGTATTGGTTACTTGGACCTACATCAACTCTATATCTCGAAACTAAACTCCTATTATATAAAGCGTTATTAAAGCCAATATGGACTTATGGCATTCAGCTTTGGGGCACAGCCTCGATTTCAAATATAGAAATATTGCAAAGATATCAGTCTAAAACTTTAAGACTAATTACAAATGCTCCTTGGTACATCACGAATAAAGTCATACATTCCTTTTATAAAAAACGAAATTAAAAGGTTCAGTACGGCATAMTTACGCAAAATTAGTTATCATGAAAACTTACTGGCAATTACGCTATTAGATGAAACCAATGAAATTATTCGACTTAAAAGGCATCTTGTACTAGATCTACCCTTTAGAAGTTAATTAATATTAAATTAAGTTAAACAAAATGTAAATGTACCTATGCACATACATAAGTATATTATTATTGGCCTCACTGGAGATCAATAATACAAGTAAAATTTCCATAGTTAACTAAGTTGCTTATTGTTCTATGAATAGATTGCAAATACCTGTATTCAATAAAAAAAAACAAAAAGATTACATTGTTGCGTTATAAAACAACCTGTGCTAACTTTTGAGAAAATACATTGTGAAATATGAAAGTTTTCCATAGAAGAACTTGATTACGATCATKCAGTTTGTATGGTAGATATGTGTTATAGTGGTCCGATATCGGCAGTTCCGACAAATGATCAGCTTCTTGAAGGGAAAATGACATTTGTAAAATTTCAAAAGGTTATCTTAAAAGCTGAGTAACTTGTTCGTATATACATATATAGACAGACGCGCGGAAATGACTAAATCGACTCAGCTCGACAATACTAATTATTTATATATACACTTTATAAGGTCTCCGACCCTTCCTTCTGGGTGTGAACTTCGTGACAAACTTAATATACCCTGTTCAGGGTATAAATATTATCGATGATATTAGCATCGTTTATGACTCTGATGCCGTAAATTTTTTAGGGTCAAATCCCTGATGCTTATCATCAGACGGGGGTAGGTATGAAATTTCTAAGAGACACAGACACATCCCAAAATTTTATCAGACCARGTTAAGTTCACCATTCGATGGAATAATATACCTTGACTTGTTAACGCACTGGATATGAAATTGCAGAAAGGGTAGATAAAAAACTAGTTCAAAACGACCTCAATAGAACCTTCAATAGATCGAATACAATAACTTAAATAGAAGCCTTTTTAAAAATCAATCGTTCAAATCCGAAAAATAAAAAAAAACGTCATGCGAACTTTGTTATTTTTTAACAATTTAATATTACTGATCGAAACTATTTCGTAAGAACGAAAAATCTCTGTACCAACTGTTTGTCACATGCGCATACGCTTAAAGATTGCGAAAGCAAATTTAATTGTGTTTACTGCCATAAAAAATATAATTCAATGTTACATATAACCACTTTTCCAGCTCACCCTCAAACAGCGTAAACGTAAAAAGAGCAACAGGTTTAGTTGCAACAACAAATTCTGAAATCTGCCAAGAAGCACCATGCTGCTCAAAGGTGTTAAAAACTCAAACGCTACATAGCGAAAATCATAGTAGGGTACTATTACTCACAGCAGTTGTCTCCATCGAATACAGAGGAGAAATGTTTAAACTCAGAGCCTTAATAGACCAAGGWTAAAGATGATCATTTATATTGTCTAARGCACAAAATAGGCTACAGTTGCCTACAAAACTGGCCAATTTTGAAATCACGGGAATGGGGGGAAGAGTTGTTCAAAACTAAAATAAAATCTGCCCCATTACCCCCTTTTACCCCAAAGCGGATAAGTGCATACAAGCAGAAGCTGTTGTCTTACCGCAATTAACCAATATGCTACCAAGCTATCATATAAATAGAAAGCATTGGCAAAAGGTTTCGCACCCAAAGTTAGCAAACCCAAACTGCAAGACTCCCGCCCAAATAGATCTTCTATTAGGCAGCGATCTCATACCGCAGATAAAGCTCGAAGGTATTGAGGAAATCAAATACACTTCTGGCGCAATATACCATTTTCGGTTGGTTCCTAAGTCGACTAGTTGCGGAACCAGATACAACATTGACAACTCAAGTTGAGGGAGTCTCATAGGAGTACCTCAATTCAAAATTGAAAAAATTTTGGGAATTAGAAGAACGTCGTGTAACTAGTGCTAACAATCCTGCCGATCTAGGTACAAGAGGCTGCAAGCCATTGCACCTTGCCACCTCCACCCTCTGGTGAAATGTCTCCCGCTGGTTGATAGAATCCCCTGATTCTTGGCCACAATACCGCATGCGCAACATTATCGCCCTAGAAGGTCGAAAATCGCCACATTTCACACAATAATTAATGATGCCGACATCCTTGAACGATTTTCATTGTTTCCAAGAGCCCTCAGAGTAGTTATATGTTCAAATTTATAGAACAACTCAAAAGCAAAGTCAAGGGGCGACACAATTTCGCATGCAACACAATGACGCACCTAGAGTTACAAAAAGYAAAAGTCACACTAATCGCATATACACAAGCGCGCTACTTCAGCCGCGATATGTATATCACTACTAAGAGAATCGAAGCCAATTGATAAAAAGAGCTCGCTCTTAGTTCTAAACCCATTTCTGGACACAAAAAGTCTGCTTCGTGCCAATGGTCGGCTTGCTAATTCGAGCCTAATATACAATGAACGCCACCCCATAATAATTCCCTAGAGGTCACCATTTGCGACATTATTCCTCAATTACATCCACATCTGAATGCTACATGCCGAACCTCGCCTCATCCAACTTATGGTATTATATCTCCCGTCTTAAGTCGCAAATCAAGAAGTRCATCTT